TGCTCGCAGAACTTGATCCATCGGGTGTGATTACTGCTAAAGAAAAACAAATTCGTGAAACTCTACTTAAACTTGAATCAATCGATGGTGATGGTAACGCTTCACTTACAATAGAAGAACTCGCAACAGTACGTCGCGAATTGGCTGAATCAAGAAATTTAGTTTCAACGCACGAGCAAACCATTAATGAATTACATTATGAAAATGAACGTCTAACAAGACAAAGAGATGAATTTGAAATTCGTTTGTCTACCTTAGAGACCGAATATGAAGAATTGCTAGGTAACAACTCTTTTTCAAAATCTCTTATTAATATGGACCATTCAATTTTCTAAGAATTTAAACTAATTGACATATTTTATTGCACCATCTTTACAGATAAAACAATTGCTGAAGAAGAAGCAAACAGTACCATTGACATTAACGAAACATTAGCAGAATTAAAGGTAGGTGGTCATAAGACTATTTCAATTAACTGATTAATTATCGTTAATGTTATATTAATCAATATTCTATATAGGGTAAACTTGAGGCTCAATTCACCGCCAAGAAAGAAGTACAACAAAAAGAAATTGAAGAATTAAAACAAGAGCTAGAGAAAAAGAATGAAGAACTGCACAAACTTAACAGGTCAGTGTATTTTGCTTTTAGCCTGATTCACCAATTTTTTCTAATATTTTATACTGCCAAATTTAAAATGTTTATATATATTTTCTTCTATTTGACAGTGCCCTTACTGATTTGAAACGAGCAAATGAAGAATTACAGGTAATGGTATTTCCGAAAGCTGAGATGGTGAGAATTTTTACTTGGATCATGTTTGAGCAGAATTTAATTGTTGTTCTCATGCCAATTATGAAATCCAGAATGCACTTAACGATAGAGAAAAGGAAGTGCGGCCTGATAACCAAAAAACTGCAGCAGATAAAGAAAAGGATATGGAGCGAATTCGCAAAACCATGGCACAGCAATTGGCCGATTTTGATGTTATGAAAAAAGCTCTAATGCGAGATCTACAAAACCGATGTGAAAAAGTTGTTGAACTTGAAATCTCATTAGATGAGACACGAGAACAATATAATAACGTTTTACGTAGCAATAATAACAAAGCACA